TCCTGAGGTGCAGGTTGGTAAAGAACTTCTGTCTTCTTCAAGCTGACTTCCAGCCCAAGAAATCTCAGCAGCCTCTGCAAAGCAGGATGTTAAGCACTGCAGAGCTTAACTGCAGTTAAAACTGCAGAGTATGAGCAACGAGGGCAGCATCTTCAGCAAAAAGCAGCTCGTGGACAAGGTGATTTAGGGTCTTATTGTGGGCCTTCGGTCACCTTAGATTGAATAGGCTCCCATCAGTACGATACTGGATGTAAATGCCGTTATCTTAATCGAGGTCTGCCATGGCCCTTTGAAGCATCATGCTAAAGAAGATTGTGAATAGAGTTGGTGTAAGAACGCAACCTTGTTTCACACCATTGGTTACTGGGAAGGGCTCAGAGAGTGCATCGCCATATCTGACTTGGCCACGCTGATCCTCATGTAACAGGATAATCATTTTGAGGAACTTGGGAGGGCATCCTAATCATTTCAAGATCTGCCACAGGCCTTTTCTGCTCACAGTGTCAAAAGCTTTTGTGAGGTCAACAAAGTTACATAGTCCTTTGTTCTGTGCCCTACACTTCTCTTGGAGCTGTCTGAGGACAAATACCATGTCTGTGGTACTCCTATGGGCTCTGAAACCACATTGGCTTTCAGGTAGAAGTTCTTCTGAGATAGCTGGTACTAATCTGTTCAAAAGTATCCTCGCAAGGATTTTGCCAGCAGTAGAGAGCAAAGTAATACCACGGTAATTTGAGCTGTCCAATTTTTCTCCTTTCTTCTTGTAAAGGGTGATAACGACTGCATAATGGAGATCTGATGGTAGTTCACCTTTTTCCCAGCAGCACACAATGAGCTCGCGAAATTGAGCCTCCAGACTTCAGGTAGAATTCCATCAATCCCAGCTGCCTTGCCAGTTTTCACCTGCTGTATGGCCTCAGAAGTCTCTCCCATAGTGGGGGCTATATCCAATTCATTTTTCACCGGTTGTTGTGTAATGTGCTGAATTGCTGAACCTTGAACTACACGGTTGGCACTAAAGAGAGTCTGGAAATGTTCAGACCATCGATTCAGGAT